TTCGCTAAGAACGTGTGAGCTGCAAGAAAAATAATTATAATTTTCAATATTGAATGTAATTTATATATAAAAACTGTTTTTTAAATTGTTGTCAAATACCTGTTAGGATTTGGATATCTACGCCAAAACCCTTGAGCAACTTGTTCCCAAGAAAAATAAAAAATTGTACTGCTTTCAAAATACTTCACCATGATGCCTATTGAAAGTAATAATTATTTCTTCAATGTTCACAAATTGCAGCACAAACTTCTGAAGTAGTCATTAAAGATACTTGCTATTGTTGAATGTATCATATGTCTGAAACAACAAATGATCAAAGTTTAATGCAACTAAGTATGTATGTAGGTTATTTAACTATCAATATACATGGATAATTCATTGAATTTAATTGATAAATTAAATCTATTGTTGGTTGTATGGCATGAAAAATGTCGCTGATACTTGTGTGTGATTCATATATGCATTAACGATGATATAATTGAAACAAAATTCACAGCCTACTTATATTGTATAAAACAAAAAATAAAAAAAAATAAAAAAAAATAAATGACTTTACTTTTCGACACAGTCGATGCAACGAACGGGGTAAAAGGTAAAAATTACTTTCGCGAGGTCATCGACAAGCTGGACGAAATCAAAGCCATGCCATTCATCGGCGACATCGTCGGTCCGTACGTGGCTATAGCAAGAAGCGCCATAACAAACGTGAATAATTTGACCGACGGAAGCTTCGGGGCCATTTTCAACAGCATCATGCCTTGCAACATCAGCAATTTGAGCATCAGGTGCGAGGGTACCCTGGACAAGGACAGTGCCCGCCAACTCGCCAAAAAACTGCTGAGCAGCATACCCCTCGGAGTACTGCCCAGCTCGATGGCCTCCATCATCAAATTGGCCACTAACGTCGTTTGACACTAGTTATTATATATTAATAATACAATGTTATTTCATGACCACTTTGTGACGTTAAACCACACGTTGTTTCTCCAGCTTGTATCGTAACGATAATAAATTTCAATTATATATGAATAAAGAAATACAATGTTAATTTATATTGTTGTTGGCAATTTGTTTTATTTATATATTCCATTTAGCTGTACTGCTTACAAATGATGTTAAATTATGTGGAAGAGCTTCAATATGTGGTAGGCTGTTTGCAATTGAACGAGATACTTGAGGATGAATTCGGGCATCAAATTCGATTTGCGCGAAACGGTTATGGAATCGTCCAACAGTGGGAGTACGTAATTCTTGATGAGGTGCCAGGCAACGGAGACGAATCGGTTAAACGTTGACTTTAGCACGCTTTTTATCGGCAAAGCTGTTGCATCGATGGCCGTCAATATGGGGGCGAAAATATTATTATTTTCGACAGACCTTGGAATCCTTGATTTCGACTCGACGCTCGAACGAAGCAATGCCATGGCTGGACCTGCCGGGATTTATTTTTAAATATAATATCATCCAATATATATTAAGCATATATTTATGTACGGACGCACTTTGAGTTGAATCAAAATCTTACCTTGTTTTTTGTTACCCGTAGCATCGCAATAAAAACTACACGCGATATTCATAATTAACACAAAAATCAGCAGGTATTTTGACATTTTGAAACTTTGCACGCGGGACTGAGGTAAAAAAAAAAAAAAAAAAAAAAAAAAAAAAAAAAAAAAAAAAAAAAAAAAAACATTTTTTAATTTATATTACTTTACGTGCTTTTTGCCAATTTTACCAAAAGCCCTGGCTCATTAGCAAAGAGTACCATTGAGAAATTTAAAGAGTTGCAAAACTTCAACTTATCGTCAAAATGGAACTAATTTTCATGGAAGTATTCTAGCATATACTTTCGTCTTAATTGTTAAAAATATGTTGTAGTTGTTGTCGCGCCTCACCATCACCAGACCAGCCTTGCGGAAAATAGAAATAAACTCAATGATTTGGATTTAAAGCCATTGGTGAATTTTTTGGAAAATTTTCCGCTTATCGGCGATCAGATTAAATTTCTCATCGACAACTTGGCAACGGGCCTCGTGAGCTTGAACAACTTGACAGGAGGTTTCATCTTAAATGTCCTGAATGGATCGTCACCCTGCAAGATTGCTCTGGACGGCATCAGTTGCGACGGCCCGTCTTTGAACGACAACATTTATAATGCCGTTAAAGCTATAATTGACAATACCTTGTCTGATATTTTGCCAGACTTTTTCAAAGGATACGTTGATAGTTTCGTTAAAAAATTCATCGACATGGCAGTTGCCTACGTATTTCAAGTCGTTTAGGCTAAAAACGACGGCTAAATTTCGAACCATGAAAATTATATTAAAAAGCAAACAAACAATAAATGTGTGGCGGAGACTATTGTTTTTCCTTCGTTTTACATAACATACACATATGCACGCGCGTCGAATATACTTGGAAAAAAAAAAACGCGATAAGCAGGTAACATTTTCCCCCCGTTTCTGTCAAGTTTTTTCTGCATATCACGCGTTTGAAAATTAAAATTATTATATATTAACGCGCTCGTTCTATAAAAGAATAGTTCGAGTCTTGCTTAAGCTCATGCAGTTAAGTATCGCCATCACGTATATTATAAGCTGTGACAACCCAAATTTTTTTTTTTTTTTTTCCCCTTTGCCCAGTACAGTACACATACTTGCAATAGACATGCGGCTATCGAGAAGTGACGTGGTGGTTTTTTTCGCATTTTTCGTTGCCACTAGTATTGTCGATGCCAAGAGCAGTAAGTAGTGATTTTTTTTTTTTTTTTTTTTTGGAGCCTAGCGTA